TTACCAAGTTTGATAACATTTGGTCCAGTAGTTTTCCTTTTAAAGTAAAACCTTAATTACAACCACCCTTTATATGTAACAACTTATTGAAATGAAGTACATTGTTTTAATGAATCGTTTTGTATAACTGGAAAAATAGATATTTTCTGATTATCCATACCCATGGTTTCAACATTCAATAGAACTGCCGAGTTTAGGGCATATTTTTGAGCATTCGTGAAAATAGCCAGCCCTCATGTGTTTTAAATAAATGCTTTATATTTAAGTGAATGAAATCCTTGTGCTGTAAAAATGTAAATATTAAACATGAGTATGTTTCCTATAAAATGCTTTTTATTATCATTTATAAACTATTAGAATAACCAAAGAAACATTTTTCAGTAATTTACATCTCCTTGCTGTAGTCATCTCTCACATATTAATATAAATCATTGTGCTCTGCTTCTCTTGTATAAAGCAAGAAGTAAAATAAGTTTTAATCTAAAATAAGTCGCCAATAAATGGCTGATTTTTCGTGCTGTGTATAATTACAAAATACCAAAAATTATTTTCAGGATATGCCTAAATAGCTGTTAAGTTTTCTCCTTCTGGTGTGGACTTTAGTCTGTGTGTACTTCTTTGTATGCAAGCAGATTTTTAATCCATGTGGCTAGTTTTTCTTTGAAAGGTATCATAACTAAAGAATTTCTTCTGAGAGCATATTTTGCATTGTCATTTTTTTATCTGGTGAATATTACCTTGTTATTTAAAAATTTTTAATTTCTTATTTCTTTTAATGGTCTAAAAATCATTCTAATGAATGGAAGGTTATGAAATGAATAATAAATCAGTAATTATACAAATCTCTAGTTATTAAATGCTGTTTAAATATGACTTCATCGAGAAATCCAAAAAGTCATGCTAATCTCAGAGTTAAACACTGATCCTACATATGTATTTCCAGTTAAAAAATTTCTTAAAGTTGAAAATTTATTAAAAAAGATATTTTTGAAAGTAATGCACTGACCTCTTTTCAAAGAATAGGTTCTCTTTATCAACCTTTTAATATTTTGCTCTATAACAATACAGTATACCACATAATCATAGTACAAATAAAGAATGATTTATTAGCTTTGTTTAATTTTTTTTTATATTATAATTCTTAACTTTACAAGATTAATAAGCAAGTTTCAAAACAAATCACAGATTCTGATTGTAAAGAATTATTTAAATAATTGACAGTTCACTGATAAAAATAGAATTTTTTTAATTTGGAATAAGACTTATAATTAGCTTTTAAAATACTTAGTCTTATCACTCTTCAGAAATGTTCAACCAAATTTCTTGCATAATAATTTATATATTTAAAAAATATATTAAATAATTCTTTGTGTATTTTTTTCTTATATTTATTTTATGATTCCTTCCTTGCACATTATATAGTTTTATATCAATAAATAATTAATTATCAACAAAACAAATTTTGTGGAATCTATAAGATCTTAGTTGTGTAAATTAATTGGTGGTGAATTATTGGTTACCAACACGTAGTTCACCCCTTGATAATTGTTGACTCCACTTAAAATTTCATAGACCCCCATTGAGTATCCCTGCTGTAAAGGAAAAATCTAAAATAATAAGTTAAAAAATAATGTTTTCTACTTAACATGTAGTTTTGGGTTCTAGGAAAAAAACCCACAGGAAAAATGCTCACAGAATAATGCTCGCAGGAAAAAAGCCCACATAGAAAAAAGCTCACATGGCAAAATGCTCACTTAGAAATATGCTCACAAGGAAAAAAGCTCACATGAAAATAAGCTCACTGATAAATAAAATACATAGAAATATCCGTACATTAATCAATCTTGAACATCATACATATACTTGAATTGTTTAAAGAAAAATTAGTTGATCATTTGAAAAAATTATTGGACAAATGCTCACATAAACATTTTCAGAGGCGGTATATAAAAGAATGAAAACTATAGTAAAATTTTGCATGTACTATAATATTTTATACTGCTGCCGCCGTTGCCACATTTTTATTCCTTTAACTCCAACTTTAATTTTTGTTTTTTTACTCTTATTTTGCATACTTTTGATATGTATCTATAGAAATTGGTGTTTGAATGTAGTTTTTAAGTTGGAGCCAAAAAGTTCTAGAAGACCAGTTTCCAATCGAGTGGAATCATTATGATGCAGCCTCCGAAAAATCTCCTAAAACCAAAAATTGTTATGAAAGCTTTCATAAGGTACTAAATTCATTATTTAATTGTATCCATTCCAGTATGCGGTTTTCATTTGATGGACTCGTAAAAGATTTAGCCTTCAACATTTATTATTAGCTGTTGTAAATTCATGGTGTACTGAACGAAAAAAAAAAGAAAATATGAAAACTTAACATTTGCTAATCGTGAATCATGTAAAACTAAATATTTACATATGTTAGCTAACATTCAGCACGTTTATTTATCATATTTTTTTAAATATATATTTGTGATTTATATATAATAAGGTACTTATGTAATTTAAATAAATAATTATTTATGCTTGCTTATTCTTTAATGTTTATTTATAAAATGTGTCCTTATATTTACTATTATTTTTTTTACATTAAAATTGTAATAATTTTCACGTATATTCTGTTCATTTTTTCTTCTTTCTCTCCTTTTCCTAATTCAAAACGGCCCAATTGTTAATCTTATATAGCAACTGAATGTACACATAAGTTATAACAGTTTTTGATATATATACCATAGATGTTTTGGTAATTTAAATATTTTTCTATGAACAATTCACGTAGATGTACAATATGCAAATCGATTAATTATTTATTGATTGATTAATCCAAGGATATTTCTACATATTTTATTTATGAGTGGGCTTATTTCCGTGTGAGCTATCTATGTGAGCTTTTTTCCTTGTGAGTATATTTCTAAGTGAGCATTTTTCCATGTGAGCTTTTTTCTGTGTGGGCTTTTTTCCTGTGAGCATTTTTCTGGTCACCTTAGTTTTGCTGTTCTATGCAGGTTTGAATTAATTCAAGATGTTTGAGAATACATATAGGCAACAGCTGTAAAGTAAAAATTATGTATTTTTGCATCTTCTTACTCTTTTTCTTATATAAAATTCATTATTAAATTTGTAGTTGGCCCTTGTGTATATTTGTCAAAAATATATTTGTGAACTGTTTTCATAAAATTCTGCACCTTATTTTTAAAAACTTGGTAACTTGAAATGTATTTTTAAAAATAAAGCTTGTACTTTAAAACACTTTGCATACTTTTTTTAGGCAAGAATAGCAAGAATAATTCTTATATTAGATGAATATTCCTTTATATCAGCATTAAGTATTGATAAATTGTGTAACACTACTTTTATATCTACTTTTTCTTTCAGAATCCATCTTTTCATCTTAGTATTATGTCTTGTGTTGGCAGCAAAGAAGAAAATATTGAATTGTTTCTAGCTGACCTAAATGTGAGTAATATGGAATTTTAAAAAATAGTCATAATTTGTTTATACAGTCAAAAGTTGTTAATCCGGACTCGTCGGGACTTCGGCGATTCCGGATTATAGATAATCAGTTTAAATCTCGTAAGACGGCATGCAGAAATTCTAAAATTAAAAATATGAAACCATAATGTATAAAATTAAGAACAATTATGATCTAAAGGGTATCAAAATTAAAAAAAAAAAGCTTAATATTTATTTGTTTACTTTATTAAACATTTCTTTCAATGTAAGTTGTTTAAGTTGCTTCGTTTTATGTGATAATACTTTCTCTTTAATTCTATAAACAGACATAATTTCTTGTTCAGTTATAAAGTTTCGCTGTTCAAGTCCCGTTAATTGCTGTGCCGAGAATACCGACTAACTTGTCAATCGAAATTTTTTCATTTTCACTAACCTCTCTGTCACATTCTTCATGTCTTTATCCATTTTTTGCAGCAATTCCACTTTTTGTTTGTTGGACATCGAAACATACTTTCGTTTTGTAGATCCTTTGGAAGTTCCAGCATCGGGAATTCTATTTGACATAATCGAAAGTTCAAGTTTACTTTTATAAAATTGCTCTTACAGTCTGCAAAAAATAATAAGCGGGATCCAATTCGAAGATTAAGGAACAACGCAATCATTAACTGAAATAGATAATTAGATCATTTTAGCTTACACTGTCCGTTATACATTAAACGCGCAGGCGAAAACATATTCTGCCTTGCGCACACGCATGTGCGCAGTAGTCAAGGTCTTACGCGCACGCATAAAACGCCTGTGCGCATGTGCCAAAGCGGCGCATGCGCAGAAAGTTTTTAGCTTTGAGGTCCGGATTATGGGTGTCCGAATTAACGACTTTTGACTGTATATTAAACTGAAAAACTAAAATATATTAATTTGTGTTTAAAAAAGGTTTTATTTGTTATAAATTTGTTCTTTAATAATGTGCAAATAGTAATTTCTCTTTATAATACCAATCTATCAATGTAATCAATTTTTGAATAGCTCTTTTAACAATGTGTTAAGTTCATTTCTTTTAAGCTTGTGTAAATTTATATGTTTTATAGAACTATTATATTTAAATCTAGTTATTCCTAAAATTCTAAAGGTGGAATTGGTACCTTGCAGTAAATTATGTACTGGGAACTTCACATATTTAAAAAAAGATGTTTTTGATTATTCTATAATGGTGTTTCCAATAGAATATTAGTATTCTAAAGTTATGTTGCTTGGGCATATGCAGTATCTCGAGGTAGATTTATAAATTTTATTAGGATTTTGTTATGTACAGTTATGCTTTTACTACTTCCAGAATAATATGCAACTTTGTTGAATATTGGGGACATATTTGAAGGTATAAGAAATGTCTGCATATGCAATGAAGAATGAGAGATGGTGATGTCTTTATGTATAACCCTAGAATGATCATTTTTTGTGTATATTTTAGTTTTTCTTTTCCTTTGTTAGTTTAGCATCAGTTAATTTCTAGCAAGTATCTTCATCTACTACAAAATGAACCACTTGATCTGTGTGTGGCTTAATGTTGTTATTTTTAAAAATTAAAGAAACAGCGCCAACAAGTCCTCAGTAAAGTTTTGCATTAGGTTCAAGAACTTCATTTCTATAATATTATGTGATCATGGTGGTGTTGCTCAGTCCAACATGATATCTCCTCTCTTAATAATTTGACTGGATCCTAAAAAAGCTCTCTAACCATGATGTCCTTATGTTATCTTGCATTCGTTTGTAGGTGCTGTGGTTCTCATTTTTCTGCCTGAAACTGGCTAGCTTCTAATTTAGCGATGGCTGTCTAAAGCTGTCGTCTAAATGATTGTGAAAACTTATTTTAACTAATGTGAATCAGACTTGTGACTTTTTTTACAAGAAATACAATTGTATAAATGAATTTCACAGATTCGAAAACCAGTCACTTTGAAGATTTCTTAAAAAGCATATTGTTTCAAATTTTAGGAACCACAACATGGTTCTATATCATTTGTAATTTGAATTATATACAACATCGTTTTTAAAATATGAATGGTAGCTTTTGAATTATTGCAAAAAATGTATTTGTAATTATGATTTTGGACACAAAAAAAGTTAGTATTCTCGGCTGTTTACATTAATGGAAGCATTTTGAAATTATTGAATATTTTAAGTTTTTCAAAATTATTTAATAAAATTGTTATTAAAATTATCTATTAATTTATTATAATTAGTATATGATGTGTTTGGATATTAAAAGGCCGTTTGGGAAATTTGGATTGCTGTGTTAGATTTCCTACAATAAACATTTTACAAATTTGAATGCTATTGTACTTGTAGGTTAATGATGATGAACATGTAGCAGAATAATGATCGAGAACCATTCACACAAGACATTTCAGCTGATAGATTTGGACACTTATATTTAGGCTGACATACAGCTAAATTAGAAAGCTCTTTTCAGCTCCTCCAAGAGTCCCAGTATGGATATGATGAAGATGTAAGTTCCACAATTGTATTTTCTGAGAGAAAATCTGAAGTAAGTTAAAAGCGAGATGTAATTTCCTCTGTAAACAAGTACATCAGACTGGTCTGGAAGTGGGTAGCATAGGGGGCACCATCTGCTGGTCTGAGAAGTGATGAAAAGTTTTGAAAGCAAGAGTGATGAAAAACCAGACACGATGCAGGATCATTACCAGGCGAATCAGGAAGCATGACTATGACAAAACAAGAGAACATATCAGTCAATCTAAAGAACAGGGGAGAAATTGAAGTTGTCAACAGTTTGCAAGATAAGGAAATAAACTAAGTTTCAGAGTTTAGAAACATGAGGGGTAATTTTGAGGATACAGCAAAACTTGGAAAAATTCACTGAAGTTTTTTTTTTTTTTTTTTTTTTTTTTTTTTGTCTAATTTGGTGTGCCACGTAAGGCCTACTAAGTATTCTCTGGTAGAATATCGTAGTTGAGATGATCATGAAAGTTGGAGATTGCTTAGGCTCCAGATTTTTGAGGAAAATTTATTTAGCTTGTTCAGATAGTCAGATACGTATTTCATATTGAGGTCACAATGAAAACATTTGTTACGGTTCAAACACGGAGCTTCAGTGATAATATATAGAATTTTTTTTTTTGGATGATTTGCAGCTGATTTATGTCAGTGTGTGCCCAAGGTAGAAAGGCATTACTTGAAGATAGGTTGGATAATAGAAATGCAGATTTCGTTTTTCCTTTAGAGAGTTAAGTCCAGAGGTGCTTGATAGAAGGGAATTCAGTTTGAGGATAATATGTAGAGTTTTGCTTTTGATATTTTTGATGTGGTTTTTATATTTAAAGGCAGATTTAAATGTAATTTCAAGATATTTTGCAGTGGGAGTGAATGGAACAGAGGTGTTGAAAAAGCTTGATTTGGGTGGTAGTTTTCAATTTTTCGAATTTTCTAATCAATAGAAACTGATTTTATTGAGTTTCCAGATTGATATCGATTTTCCACCTTCGATACCATCCTGAAGTGACTGGGATCTTGTTTTGGATATGTTTGACAGATTCAGAAGCCCAGATTAGGCAATAATTGCTATGTCATCGGCCTAACATGCAAGGAGAATGTTGTAGTCATTGTGAAAGTTCCCACGATGGAACATTTAGGATCTATGCAAAGTACAATTTGTCTACATTTTATGAAGTTAGTATTTAAATATTTTAGATAACTGAATTTGATCTAATTTTGATTTCTTTTGACTGAATTTTTTCAAAATATGTTAACATTCAATGTATAAGCATCAGTTTATGGTACTTTACAAACATGTTTGGAGCTAGAAATGTGATACTTATATATGTATGTATAAACATACGGTTGGAGAGATAGGTGTTAAAAGATGTTTATCTGAGTCATAATTACTTGGAGAGGTGTTTATGTATAAATGAAATGGTGGACTTGCAGACTTGGTTGTATATTCAACAGTTTTATTTTGTAATAAACAAGTCTTCACAAGCATAAATAGGTCCACACATCATTATTATGGGTATGATAATGCACTCCACAGTTCTGTACTGCTGACATTTTCAGACGATGGACAGCAGAGGCAAGAGATACACAATAGCAGCAGGGTAACAGGTTTGGCAGCAAGTGAAGCAGCATTATAATAAAGGCATGCATCAGCAAAGCATGATATCTATAGTGAAATGTTTCTTTAATGTGATTGGATAAAAATCATAGTGATGACCAAGCATGCTCCGTGCATGTTACGCCGATGACTTGGCAATTCTTACCTATTCTGGGTTTCGAATCAGTCCCCTGCAAGCAAGGCAAGATCTCAGTCATCGTAGAATGGTATTGGAGGTGTAAAATCGTTATCAATCGGCAAAATTAGAAAATTACCACCTAAATTAAGCTTCAACACCAATTCTATTCGTTGTCAGAATAAAATGTTTTGGAATTACACTTAACTCTACCTTTAAATAGAAAAATATCAAAGGCAAAACTCTAATCCTGAAGTACCTCTGGACTTACTTTCTAAAGAAAAAATGGAATCTAGCCTCTATTATGGAACCTTTTATTATACCTATAGTGGAAGCCTCTCTTCCACTATAGGTTCTCTGCCTTGGGTACGTGCTACTGAATCAGCTGCAAATCATCCAAATTAAATTTGTGTATATTATTATTGGAGGTTTGTATTTCAACGTTAACAACTGTCTTCACTGTGACCTCAATATAAAATTGACTTGGCCTGGCCTAAATTTTTCGTGATTTCAATATCTTACTTTCTCCTTGTCTTGCCCAAATATTTCTTAATATCATATTCACATAGATATTTATTTCATTTTAGGTTATTTTCGATGCATTCATGGAAAGCCATACAGATTGCAGAACATTATGGATAACTGAAGTATGTTGTAAATGTGGAAATAAACTATTCACAATTCCTTTGAAATCATAAATTGTACAGTTATTTGTATAATAAACTTTTATATATTATGAAATGAATGTATTTTTTATAAATATATTTTAACATAAAAATGGAATACTTACACAAGGGTCCGTGGCATTTCACCAACAAGCACATTTAGCAGACATTTAACCGACTGGAATATTTAGCTATAGGACAAGTTATTTCAATTGACAGGACATTTAGCCAACACATACCCAATAAATTTAAACTTACTAACTATTACAAAGTTCTTGCTTATTCTCACTATTGGAAGCAATTGTTTTTACCTGTAAGTAATATTAGTTTTTTCATTCTTCGATGTAATTTTTAATCCTTGTTGAATTTATCATAATTTGATATGTATCCTGTCGTTTGGTTATGTATCGCCTAAACTGAAAAAGTGTTCAAATTTCCCTTTAAGAAAAATTATTAATTCAAGAAATTCTGAGCGTTATTTACCAAAATTCGATGGTACATATTTTTGTAACCTGTTAAAACATACATACAGTTCTTTGCCGAGCTGAAATATGTTCGGAAGAGCCTTGGTTAATGATCTGTGTCAGTTAAAGTACAGCAGAGTCATTGTTCTGCTGTACAATACATCGTCGGAGATGATGCCAATCAGTCTTTTGGAAAACTGTGCTTGAACCGCAGTTACGTCTTCTAGAGAAGGACCGCAGGTTTTGATTCCAACTTTTGAAAACCTTTGATATGGCTGCTTTTGAGAACCCAGGAAGATTTGCTGTCCTCAAAATCGACGCCCCTGCTAAACGGGCACCAACAATAAGCCCTTTTTCAAATGGTGAAAGATCAGTCCTTTTTCCCATTTTACTTCATTCATTGTGAAAAGCACTCTTGCATCTTACTTATACTTACATTTTAACCAGATGTAACCTACGTCATAAAAAACATCTGCATACTTCATCCCTAGCGCGCATTCAAATGAAAATCTCAAAGGTTTCTAATTTCATTGGCCAATGTGTATATTAATATGCTTTTCTATATAAGATTTTTAATGTGGTACATTTATCAATCAAGCCATCTGTTCTGAAATAGTATCTACCATGTCATTTTTCTGCTCCTGGTTTTTAGGTAATAAAATTAGTAAAAAAAAACTGCACGATTACATATGGTATTCTTAAACTAAGATTTAAAATCTTAATTAATTTGACAAGTTTTTCTAATAACTATAAATTTAAAATGTTGAATACCTTTAAAGAAAATTTTATTGAAACAATCTTCAGTGGTATAATTTAACAAAAGATTTTATTTTATGAATCATCTTTTTTTAAAGTTATTACTTAAATATTTTATGCTGTTAAAAAGTAAAACTAGAGTAACTTATTTCAACTCTTAGTCTTTTTATGGTATTGGCTTTGTAGATAGTATCTTTTCACTGAATCTCTCTTTTATAACATCTTTTCCCATGTACTTTTGAAGAGGTGCTGGAACAGTTATGCTGCCATCTAAATTCTGAAAGTTCTCAAATATTGTGATAAGCAATCTAGGAATAGCACACGCTGTACCATTGACTGTATGGCAGAATTTTGTTTCATTCGAAAGAGGGTTATAATATTTGATAGCTAATCTGCGACTCTGATAATCTGTGCAGTTTGAGGCACTTGATATTTCTCCATATAGTTTTTGTGTGGGTATCCAAGCTTCCATGTCTATTTTGTGGTAAGCAGGAAGTCCTAATTCACAAGGAGGCATTTCAAGAATTTTAAAATGTATGCCTAGTTCTGAATATAATTCTTTTTGAATCTCTGTAAATTCTTCCAAAAGTTCTTCACTCTCATGGCCAGAATCATTAGCTGTGATTCCAAACATTTCAACTTTAGTAAAATGATGAACTCTAAACAGAAATAAAAAAGTAAATATATATAAATAAAAAGAAAAAAAAATTAACAGACACTTCAGTATGAACAAGCATATGAAATGTATACGAGTTATTTAGCATATAACAGGTCTGCATCGCATACAATCAACTACTTCCTCAAATTCGCATTAAACAAAAACTCCTTTCTATATCATATATTTATAAAACATCTAACAAAACTTACCTATCAGGCTGAGTAAAAAAACAGTGTAATAAATGTTAAAATTTATGTAATATAGCAAAAATCAATAGCTTTTATTTCATTCATAAAGGGTTGAGTATGAGATTAAGCTATATGCCTAAGGAAAATAATGGCAAAGCACATGAGGGCTATCTGAGTAAAGTGAGGAATACCTTCAGGGAAGACTTTCTAGAGAGAACTGGCTCGTATTCACACTACGCATGGGAAAAACCAATCAACCAGTCACAATGGGTTCTAATTACCAGCATTCAGCAATCTTAGGGACTCGGCCACTAGTGGGGCTTTAAATTTATCAAAAATGAATGAATAGACATGAAAGAGATATTTTTGTTTCCCCCCTGCTGCATAGAAAATTTTTTGGCCCCTTACCTACAGAGAATTTTGAACTAATTCGGTGTTTTAAACAAAAACTAAATAGTTCAAAATTTTGCAATGTTCTACGATTGTAAGCAAAGTTATGCAGACTGGATTAGCTTTGTTCACACTGCAAAAAATCAGTTTGTTTGCTCTCATTTATATTTACCGTAATTTCCGGAAGAAACGCCGCAGCGTTTACGTGTTTAAAACTTAAATTTTCAGCGGGTGCGGCGTTTCTACCCATGCAGCGTTTAGGTGCACTAAAAATAAAATATTTCCTATGATGGTCATTGTACATTGTTTGGATGGCCTTGTCATTGTGCATAGACTGGTGCTGTTCCCACACAAAAGACCACTCAGTTGCTTTTTGCGAACGTTATTTTGTTTACATTCTTTCCCTTGAATGGACCTACATGCCTATTCACCCTAAACGAGGATCTCAGAACAATAACATTCTTCCCCCCTTTCAAATCAGCATTCTTCATCAGTTTTGAATAGTCTCTCTCCTCTGCCATTCCATGAATCTTCCAGGACCCATGCTCTCCTCCACCCCTGCCTTTTCTGCAATTTTATTCAAAGGTAGACACGACTCCACCTGCCTCGCAATAACAAACTTTGACGTATTTCCCCTTCAGCATGAATCGATTTTTTTTGGCATTCTGCCAGATATACAGATCCCATAAGTTTGGGTACAAGTACTTTGTTGGATAATTTTTAATGTAAGAAGAGAGCGGAAAATTTTTGAAAATGGCACCTAAACGGCTACAGAAACTATACATGCTGGTTTTAAGCATTAATTTATTTTTGAGTTATGGTTTCATTTAATGCATTTTTCTTAACTGGTATGTCATATATCAGGACTTAGGTTGAGTTTTTGCATCTATACGGCCCACGACGAAGTCACGCGGCGGCCTTTCTTCCAGAAATTACGGTACATACTTTAATCGTGAATTACGGTGCATTAAGTTTGGTGATATAACATTACTCATAAACCTGAGCAGAGAGTCATTGGCTTCATCTTCAAAACAATTTTGTGCACAGTAACAGATGAAAATATGCCAAAAGTCTAGTGACTGTGACAGTACTAAAAACTTTTTAATGTGATATTTCTAGAAATTAGTGTTACAGTGACAGATCATCATCGAAGGAACCACATACAGAGCAAAATTGACAAGTATTTGCAATGCTTGGGAAATTGCAAAAACCACATCCCCACCTAATTCATCAGTATTTCAAATTTTGCATGGATGTTGCAATTGTATTCTTTCAAAATGCAACAGGTAGCAGAAGGGCTAAAAAAAAGATTGCTAGCAACCTACAATGGATTCTGAATATTATCTGGAGGAAATGAAGATCAGGTTTTTGAAACACAGATATATTAGCACCTATAACTGTTAAACATAGGTAAAGGGGATACTGTAAACTTACAATGAGGTTACAACTTCTAAAACTAAAAGTTTTGAAGCTCTTTGGAAGGAATGAGGAGAAAATAAATACAATAACTAATACAAAAATTTTTAGTTAAATAAAATACAAAGATATAAATAAAAAATTAATAAATTACAATATTAAATTAATGATAAATAGTCAGAAAATAAAATGCCAGTCCTTTGATATTTTATTTTTTGACCTCATTTCATTTTAGACCTCATCTTATTTAGGGCTCCAGCAGGAATTATGATTTCACTCAGAAACTAAAAAATAACTCAAGCAACCTGCAGCTGAATTAAAGTTCTGAATATATGGCATAATACACTACTTTAAGGGATGATAGATACAAAAACCAGTCTTTTCAGGAAATTTTAATTTCACACGCATATAACCATGAGATATCACATATAACCACGAGAATAAATATAAGGCTGCTCAGTACACGTGACAATTTTCACCCCCTGTGTTTGTTGCATTGTTCAAAATGTCTACAAAAGCTCTACAGTGAGAAGTCACTAGTGCTGCATGTGCACAACCAAACTTTTAATACTTTTTAGGGCGAAAAATTTTCCCACTCTCATAAATTCATTTCTCATCCAGAAGTATAAACATTTTACACGTAAGGGGTTTTATTTCCTTAAAAGTATCAGCCTCCATTCAAGGTTTGTAACCAATGGATGACAGCGGGGCAATCATACATAAGAATCAATTTTTATGGCATCTTGATCATTGTTGCTTAAAGAAAAATTACTAGGTCCATAAAACTGTGATGACACTTTTAAAAACACTAATGTTTATTTTTCACACCTCTTTGCTACAAATTTTTAATTGAAACTGTTTTTAAAGAAAAGAAAATATACATGTTATACATCTGTACAAGCTTCTCTTATAAAAGGTGAATGCATTCTGTTTGCCACAATCATTAAAATAAAACTTATCTGTTGAAATTGGCCTTAAAAAAATAAGTGGCAAAACCTTTTCATTTAAGTGCACTTTGGCTAGAATTACAATTAATCTAAAAGACTGAAAATTACCTGAGCCGGCCCCTTGCACAACTTTAGCTCTGCTTTACAGTGAATCACAGTACGGTGCAGTTTCAAGACATTTATAATTACTGGCCCATTCTGTTTTAAACAGCCATCTGCAAAGACTATAAAATGTGCTCTTTAGAATGAACATTTCTGTCTTAAAGTATTAATGCCTTAATCCCAAGGATTTCTCAGGACAGTACCGACACCTGCTGCCAAACACAATTTTAAAGTAAATATTTTGTAAAAACCGGAGAAGAGTTTTTTTTTTTTTTTTTTTTTTTTTTTTTATATATATGTCAGATTCCAAATTCTCTGAAGAGGAGTAGAAGTGGAACTGGATTAGAGCCTTTCCGTTGTTCCAACCTCTTCCTAGTCCTTCTAAACATTTGAAGACTTATCTATTTCATAAGTCTGGATAATAGTTGTCACAACTGTTTAACTTTTCTTTGTTTTTTTTATTTCATCCTGAATAGACAATATGATCACATTACCATTTAAAACTTGTTATCCAAGCTCATTTGCAACAATAATTAACCACCTAGTTTTAATTTCTGCCATAATCTATTTTGCATACTGAATATTTATTATCATTCATGTTCTTCCATTTAACCATATAAATCATATACCTTATCTAATGACTCTGATTTTTTTGACATTAAAAATAGAATGTTTAGATAATATATCATTTCAAATAACTGGTATTAACTGTAAATATGTGTACGGAGTCTTTCGAGATGTTGTGCTAAGGTCACAAAACTTTTGAAATGGTTAGGACCTCCTAAGGTTTCAATCTTGCTCTAGAGTAGAGTTTAAAATAATAAACATAATGCATACTGAAAACTCTTATTTTATTATTTAAATTAAGTTAGAGGCCAATGGATATATAATTAAAGAAATAAAAAATGCTATAATAAGAATTATGAGGATACTCATTAAACTTTTCACTTGTAGATTTAGGGCATCTTAAACGCTGCAGAAATCACAGAGGAAGAAAATGGAAGGGAAACCCTGACCGGTTTCTCTCATCCATCTAGCTTGACACAGTTGTTTATCAAAACATTTAGTGGTTACCATTAAGATCTATTGGTTCTGATATGTTTGGTGCAAAACATTTTGCAATTACGTCATAAATATAAGTATAAATCAGACCAAGACTCAGTTGAATTGAACTGTTGAGAACAGGGGTGCTAAATAAATTGCAAAATTTTTGTGGTTCCCCTCCCACATGCACGTGTAACTTAAATTAGAGGCAATTTCCCTTAGAAAGTCTTCTGTGAAGGTATCCTTTTCTTTAGATAAATAGTTCTCGTATCTTTTGCATAATAAATTAAACAAATAACCATAATAAAAAAGAACTTCTCTTTCTTCATGAAAAATGAGTTAAAATAATCTTGAGAAATATGGAAATTTAGTTTTAAAAGTGAATACATTAACAGAATATGATAAGAAGTGACAAAGAAGAATTAATAAATCAGTCTGTCAAGAATTAATTGATAAAAGAACTAATTTTGTCCAAAAATTATTTTTTCATAGCAAAAATGATAGAGATTTTAATCTCTCAATTAAAATGTAGATATTAAGCAAAACAGCTTATGAATTTCAGTTTCATACAGAAGAAAAATTAATGTTACTGGATTCAAGCATTTTAAAAAAGAAAAACTTGGCATTTAAATATATAAATGATATAAATGCTTGAGATATTGCATCAGAAATGTCCAATTTTGAACACCACACTATTTTCATACTTTTCATCACTAAAGTAAAATCAAATCTTTTACATATAATTAAGAAATGTAGTTAAGTTCAATTGTATATGAATTTGGAAGTTACATTTAGAATATTACCAATCCCCAATGTTAAGATGAAAGAAGCTTAAAAAATTCAAAGTAAAAAACTGCTAAAATGCTGCTAAACGAATAAAAAAACTTTAAAATATTACTGCTAATTTCTGATTT